TTTCCATCTCCCATCTTGTGTCCATTGCCTCTCACCCCATCACCATGCTCCTCCAAGAAATGTTAAACTCCATCTTCTCTTTATCCTCCGATGGTGGTAGGAAGCCATTAATTTGAATTGAAAATGTTTTAGTAGCAATCAAAATGATCAGGCATTTTTGCATGCAACTTTTTCTAGGTATACTATCATTATACTGGCTTTCAGAATAACCTGATACATAAATGACTGAATACATCATGTTCATACACACTCTGGGACAATTACCTCGTCATTTTCAGTTGCATACAACACTTCATTACCAGCACTGCCAAATACACAGGCTTGACGAATTAACTTGAGCTCTTCTTGGGAACAGAGAGAAAAAATTGGCCATTTCCCAACATCCAGCATCTTCAGGGCTGACAATAATGTTGCCTCCAAGACCTGATATTATAAAAAATGATATCAAATACCTAGACAGAGAGAAATGTATACCTTTGCACAGTAAAAAGGATAAATTTAGAGAAACACCACCATCTCCTTGCTCAACCAGAAACCAGTATTTGAATTCTAGACCAATACTTGGAGGGAAGCCATTAAAATAAACAAATAAGCTGCATCTTGACCTAGAAAGAAAGCATCTACATGCATGGAGAAAAGTATCCTATAAGAAGTTAAACAGTGAGGTTGTATTTTCACTATATTCATACAACATAACTGCTAGCTTATAGAATTCAATGTAGATATAAATCTAATATAAAGCGTAAAGTATACATGCAAAACTTGAAAATAATTTGTGTCTTCTCCTCTGGTGCTAAAATTGGTAGTAAAAGAAGAAACCATACAAATCTGCCCAAGAATATACTTATCTTTGAAATATATACACATTTGTTTTCATGCATTGAAAATGCAAACTTAAGAAAACTTGAGAAACTTTTTCCTTCTCCTTTACTTCTGAAATTTACTTCTGTGTTTCAACAATTATTGAATCTTTGGGAACTTCCTAAGAATATCTGCATTTTATCTAAGTAGACATATAACAAAAGCAAAAAGATAATTGAGCATTCTCCATCTTAGCCAAGGACAAATGACAAGTTTATAGTTAAAGGAAAAGAAAAACAGATCACACCTTAAACCAGTCAAGCTAATGTCTGACTCTCATGCAACATTTCTACTGCTTTAGTATATCATAAATCAGAAAAATGTTGCAGTATCAAAATTTAATAGGAAATTTTGCATGGAGCATGCATTGAATTTTCTTTACTGAAATTAAAACAGGCTCAAGAAAGGCAGCACTACTTGCCAGATCAGAAGGTAAGCAAGAATAGATTTTGCCTATCACAGGCATTATGTAGTTCACCATGTAACAGTGAGGACTGCATCATTAGTTTATTTCTAGCAAATAGCAGACTTACAAAATGATTCGTTACAGGATATAATTTTTTCTACCTCTGACTGAAGTGAAGATGTGAATAAATTCTAGTCTGGAGTCTGAAGCACATTATATCAGTCATAAAGATATTGCTTGTTTGATTAGTATCACTTCCTATGAAAAAATGTACACAGAAACATAGATAATATTTGAAACTAAAGAAATAATCTCTAAATTAATCCTGAATTAAAATCTTTAAACAAATAGCAGTTAATCACACAATTCTTTATAGTATACTTCTGAGGAAGGGAAAGGAGGGCTGGTCGTCTTCCCTAAAGAAAAGCTGTGGCTTTGATCACACTAGTTCTTGCCCCATCTCCTCACACCAAATAACTGACCAATTTCATTTTTGCAAGTTTCATTGCATTTCAAATTTGCAAGTGAAAGGGAAGTAAGATTCCGCTGACACAATCCATTTGGCAGGCAGCTGGACAATCAGACATGTATGTTATGAAATAAGTCAGCAAGCAAGTAGGTCGAAGCTAGTCCTAGCAAATGCTGTCCTCCATGACACATAGCAGGGTTATAAGAGACTAAGGACAAGAATCCATACGGAATCAGGCTTCATTCATCTGCTCTTCACAGAACAATCTGTTTGATGTCAAGAAGCTAGCATTAATTCTATGGAGGATTTTAGGCACTTTTAAAATATGATAATGAATACTGAAAGCATCACAAACTAGTCTTCCAATTGCATCAACAAAACTGCATCCCACTTTTGCTCAAGACTGATGAAGCCTGAGGTTCAAAAGGACAGTCAGGGTGCCCTTCAGTTGTACAGATATCCTTACTGGAATAATATATTGGTTTCTTTAAAATGTGGGCTCTAAGTTCCAAGTACACAGGGTCAGAACGCATTAATCTTAAATAGAAAAGGTTTCTTCTGTAACCTCCTTCTACAAAGCGCTCATGTTCTACCCTCATAATTAACAGGTTAAAAAAATCCAAACTGTAGGATTTCTTAACATTAAAATAACAAACTGAAGGAAAAAACCCCACTATTATAAAAAGCACCCAAGGGAAACATGATACTGGTTTTGGTGGGTTTGTTTTTTTTTTTTAACAAAAGAAATAACAACAAACTTTGTCAGACTAAAAAATATCCATAATCCAAATCCTATCTCTGGAATTATTACATTCAACTCAGTAAGAGATATTCTCTCATCTTTCAAGATTTTTTCCCCTCCCACACTTCTCCCAAAAATATGAAAGACAGCTTGAACTATCAGCCTGCCAATATTTATGTCCCATAAGTGATCAGTTCCCTCATATTGCACAAAGTCATGAAAGACAGAGTTAGACCAGAATTTGAGATTTCATATGGTCCAGCTACCTATCCCAAAGGTGTATCAGTTATGCCTCAAGAATTCCTAAACCTTCTACACTTCATTTGACCTCAGCAATCAGTTTGAAAGCTGGTTATTCAGTTTTATTTGTCATACATATTACCTTACAAGGCATCATCATTAAGCTCAAAATCTGAATGATGTTTCAATAAGTTTTACATAGAGTGTTCAAAGAAAATAAAAGAGAAAAATGGGAGGAAGTTTTTACATTAAGTTATGCTACAAAACTTAATTCCAACAATTTTATGTTGTTGAAACATTAGGTTGGAACATGTAACTTTAGAACTTAATATTAAATTAAACCAGCCTTGTAAGCCAAAGGAGCAATTCAACCTAATTAAAATGAATATATCGTTCTTCTAATATTTTGTGGATCACATAAGCAACATTTCTTTCGCTAGTATCATCTTCCTACCTATAGTTTTGGTGTTCTGTTTATCTTGAAAGCTACTAGCACGTACTAAGCTACTGCTAAATGGAACCAGGCTTCTTCCTTTTGAGTGGAGCAGTACGGAATTCTCAATACAAATTCACACTCTGACCTTGACACTGACTCCTTGAGAAGAAGGAGATTCATCCTCCATATGGATTTGTGCTTGTGTCCCCCTGCAGAGAGAGAACTGTGATTAAAATCACCATATCATATTGCTGCAGCAATACTTTACTTAATATTAAGCCATAACTATTTGCTTCCGTGGGGTAAGAAAACAAGAAACATGAAGCTCAGTCAATTTTGGTTTTATATTCAACTGTACAGTGATGAGTTAGACAGACTCTGCTCTTCTGTATTCTTACCTAAACAAGTAATTCTTGGACAAAATATTTTTTGAAAACAAGTAGTAAAATTAATCTGACTGTGATTGGAAAGGAAGAAGTTTTATTAAACACAACACTCCAATGTCTTTTTATTGCAGTAAAAATAAATTTAGAATCTTGCCGATGCAATTTTTCAACACATTTCTTTCAGCAAAGAAAAAGCACACTGGCTGGAGCTTTTCATTTCTGACTTAAGCCTTCAAATATTCCAGTTCAATTCTGAAAACCAATGTCAGAAAAACATTTGGGTCTTTTCAGCTTTACTGAGAATTGTTAAAATATTCACTCTGTTTCAGAAAATATTGCCAGCCCTGTAAATGACTTGCATAATTTCCATTACATGCATCATCAACAGAAACAGATTTTCAGATCAGATGTTTCTTCCCAAATAAATATGCACAACTCTACTATCCTTGAATTATTTCCTAACATGAAGCCATACAACTCCATTTCCAGTAAAATTGCAAAAATGAGTAAGCAGCTCTGAAGCTGTGCAAGCTTCTTCTACTCAACAAGTGAGGAAGTTGTACACATAATTTTCTTTGAGGTATACTGGTTCAGGCAATGCTAAACAACTGTTTACTTTTCACTGAAAATTAAATCTCTAAAATTCTGCCTACAGGCAGAATAACATCCAACAAACAAGAAGTTACCATTTTACTTAGCTACTTTTCAGAGGCATACCACACTTTAAAAGAAGTATCAAATGTAGTTTTATAAAACTACCTAACTTAGTACTAAACATGTCTCTCATGTAAGACTTCATGCCATGAGGCCTAGGCCAAGGACACAGAATACATGAAATTCATATGATTTAAATTTTATAAATGTTAATGATTTAACAAATATTATTTGATTTACTGAATAAACAAAAATTATTTTTATTTACTTGAAACAAATAAAAAACCCAAACAATTGCTGCAGCTCAACTATACTGAATATGCACAGTTAAGCTTATGCTTTAACAAACCCCCCAAATCTGCATACACACAGTGCATTTCATACACTTAGTTTGAGACATTAAATGATAAATTCAGCTCATGTGTGAAAGTCCAGCTACTTTCTTGTCCATGTTGACTGTGAGCTTAAGGCTCAAGCATACAACCAAACCAAAATAACTTGAAGCTAAGTCATATTCCCTTTCAAGTAGGAAAGGCTAAATGGCTGATTCAGTTCCCCACACGTTAGCACCTACTGCTGTTTGAGATGACCTTGGGGATCCCCAACACCAAATGGGGCTGGCAGATGTAATACAGGACGTGTAGGGTACCCATGCCACGCTGGAGCAGCAGCTAAGAACTAAACGGCACCAGACGGATACGCACGTGCAACTGAACAAGAGCCCTGCATAAGCACACGTGGCCACTTACCAAGCTTTACAACTTAATGGATACAGGGCAACTTGTTAAGCTCTCCCTGTTAAGTGATTTGTTATTTTCTTATTTTCTTCAACATACTTACTTGTCCAAACAACAAGAATGCAACCAGTTGATTTTGTGTACTTTATCTGAACTAGAAACAACTCACCCAATTAAGGCCTTTGGCACAACCACAGCCTGAGCAGGACTGTATTACCAAACTGCAATTCTGAAACATTTAATTTCAAGTATGTGAGTAGCCCTACTGTGAAACCAAATATCAAGGCTATCCAATATGCTGCAGCATCAATTTCCAGCACTCCCTAGCAATGCTGATACATGTTACCCACTTCTTGGCCATCCTTAGCCTATACTGAGCCCACAGGGCTGATGTGTTCCCCAAGACAGTAACTATTAACTATGAATTTTCTAATTTAAATAAATGCAAAATTCTGTATTTCCTTCCTCAAGCCATTTGATACATAACTGATATTCACGATTCTTCAAGTATTTCAATTCAATTGCTTCTGTTTAGACAAAAGCATAGTTTGACTTCAAAAGCAGTTTATTTGTTAGTATAAAGAAAGATACATCAAGAAGGACCATTTCAGTTACCCCATGAAAGGTTCTCCAGCCCACTACTTTTTCAGTCCCACAAACATGCTGACAGTTTTGAACTAACTTTTCAGGAACAAAGATCACCTACGTGTCCTCACAAGTCAAAAGTTACAACATGGTTTATCTTATATATAACTAAGAGAAAATTACCCTGCAACTCCATTCTTCAAGCTGTTCTGCAAACATAGACACCTTATTTCTGAGCAGCCCAACAGGAGTACATGGGATGGCTCAATTTATAGCAGTTTATTCTTTTATTCAAATTCACATATTCTAATAAAAGTATGAACTGATTGCCACATGTCTGCATCTGCAAAGATGTTCTTTCTAAGAACCTGTAATTGATTTAAGAGTACATATTCACCCTGGGATCCTGAAAATACAGACAAGAAAAATATTATTAAGCCTGTCTAAGAGTTACTAAACCTGTCTAAGAATCATTCTTATCTGTATACCTTTAAAATACTAGTGATGATTCATATTTACCTACTCGTAGGAATCTTCACTCCAGAAAAATAACCATTGTATATACAGTTAAGCAAAGAAAAAACAGTATTTTCATCAAAAATTAAAAGATAAAAAACTGTACATTTGAGTACTTCAGGTACAGAGACAAGCATACCCTAGCTATTTCAGACAAGTTATTGGGCTCATTCATCTACTAAATCTTGCAATATGTGTATAATTGCTAAGGAACCTTACTTTAAAATACCTACCCACTACATTTAAAAAAAAATGCAATACTTACTTTAGAAAGTAAAAAGGTAAGCAAGAAATATTTCTCCTGTATTAAAACTTTATATACATTTTCACTAGCTGTGTTTAAAAAAATTCCGAAGTGCAGATCTAAAGGAGAAAACTTCATTGTTGTAAACATCCATTTCTTGAGGAAGTGCACGGCATTCTAATACAAAAATATTTATATTAAACTTTCACAAGTCTCTTATCTGGAATCCAAGTACAATTTAAGAACTTGGACAGCATACTCCAGCAGTCTGAGTTTAGGTCTTGGAATCTGAAAGTTCTGACCCTGGACCCGGTCCAGCCATGATAGGTCTCTGGGTAAGGCACATACGCTTCTGTGGTACAGATAAGATTTTCTTAAGGAACACAAATACTAGTTTTAGTAGCCAAATTCTATTAGCAGTCTAAGACCATTTAATCCTAAATATTTAAACAGGTTCACTGACTTATTTGAATGTAAACATTCTTGTAGATTCTCTCTCCAGGAACTTGGCAAGCAAACAAAAATTTTCAGAACTCCACTTAGTATTTCCTCCCACTTAATCTGAGCATTTATGAATTTCAACTACTGAAGCAAAGGTCTGTCTGGAGGTTCTTCCCCAAGGACTCCAACCACAGGCTTAGGAAAGATTAGGAGGAAAAAGTCACAGAAAAATGGGACTTGCTGACACCTTTAGGAAAGGAGCCTAACCTCCTGTGATATTCTTGATTTCTCAGCAGTTTCCTACCGGAGTAGTCATGAAATGATGCTAACCTGTCCAAGCAATCTTGCAGAAGACAGACCAATAATATTGTCAGTTATTCCTACTGAACAGGTCACATTCCCTTTCTGGGAAGATATGAGTCTATTTTCAAAATTACCTTCCTTCTTCATGTACAAAAGTGAAATGTCATTACTCTGTCCCGTGCTGACAATAAACTGACAGAACTCATCTTGCCATTCATTCTTCCACTGATGCAGTATTTTCCACTACCAAGAAATTGCAGACGTTGAGAAACAGTTAAGTGATTGTTTGAAAAACTGGTATCTCCACCTAAAGCATAGTCGTCTCTTGTTCCCTTTTTGCTTCCTGACACCAGACTGTGACTTCTCGGCTCCTGATGCAAGCCCCACTGGCTGCCTACTAATTGCAAGAGCAAACCTACATGAAGTTTAGAGGCTAGATCCAAGAAACTCAGAGGTTCATCTACATGCAGTATGCTGTATTGGAGCTAGATGCTTGAAACCTAACTGCAAAGGCCTTTTTTTCCAGTAACATCATCACCCCCAAAAAGAAATTGGTTGCCAAGAACGAAAGCAGTGAAGAATAAGATGCAAACAACACACAAAAGAAAACATGGGCACATGAAAAGCAAGGAAGATAGTGGGAATACTGTTCTGTTACCCATGCTTAGCACCATCCTTCAATACAGGTTCAATACTGCTGTGATAAAGAGCAAATACCTCAGGGAAAAATGTATTGAAATAAGCGAGAAGACAGGAAAGAAAACAAAGAGCATGATTTTTCAACTCTCCAATGGTTTAAAAATAAGTGTTAGGGTCTGGTGTGAAATTTCTGCCCTATGTGGCAAAATTGCTTTGAAAAATCGTATGTAGATTCCTGGGACACCTTCCCCTCACCTCCAAAAAAAACCTACCTTGGGGTTTTCGGCTAGCAAGACAATTTGACTAGATGATTTTATAAAAATCAAATTAAGACTTTTAAAAGTCCTATTTGATGGTAAGACACACTGCTCATGTTGAGTTTCTTTATTTCTCCCATTCCTATTTCAATTACTTTTCTTCCCCTTAGAACTGCTGTCTGTCATCATCACTGATGTAGAATGCTGTATTGTTTACCAGCGAGCAACAAGAGTGGAAGTGACTGAAAAAATCAATCATCCACCAGAGGGAAAATGTTTAAAGCAAAAGAAAAAATATCTCAAATTCTTTTCTCATTCCATAAACCCTACAGTCACCCTGAAAAAAACATTTCAAAGCTTTGGCTACCCATCTACTTGACTGAAAAAAATGAAGATTTGAATAAAGCAACTAACAACTAATAAGAAAGAGA